TTTTCAAGACCAGATCAATGTGATCTATATTTTGTTAAATGAGACCTTCCATTTTTAATTGCACATTCTTGTAGTCTTTGTCGAGACGTTATCAGAATACTACTTACTTTTATCTTTTACATAAGTCATTCCCAAAATAGGAAGTTTCAAAGTTGACGTATCACCGTATCAAAAATACAATTGTAGGAATGGCCAAAATACAAAAATGAAATGTATCAGTAAGATAAAGTGCAATAGACGAATAGTGATATTTAGTGCTCTATGTTAATAAGGAATATAGTATAGTAGTAATTCGAAATGGAATTTGAAATGTTTATTAATAACAAACCAGGGATAGTGACCTTAGGTACATTTGATAAGTATACGACGTACCTCGAACCAAATTCATTGATACAATCGATGTAAAAACAATGGCGTATCAGAATGGTATGATATTCGAGACCAGCGTGCATCAAGTTGATACGCGTATCAAATATATTCAACGCGTCGTAAACGCTGATTGACTTGATACGTATGATACTGTTTTTGCCATGGTGGGGCGCGGCGCGTCGCAACGCTTTAATTGCAGGCTAAGATATCGTTGTATACGAAATCGAAATGTCTTATTTGTATTTAAAGTCTAATCCCTCTAGTATGACTACTTACGTCGATGTAAACAGGAGCGTATCTAACGCTTAGTTCGCACTAATTTGATACCTGCATCAAGAGTTTACGGTGTAAATTAAATCAGTAAAATACTTCCACTTTCTCACGGTGTACGTCGGATAATACCGGCGATACGTTAACTTTAAAGCTTTATATCTTTATATCTGGGAATGACTTGCGCAAAAGATAAAAATAAATTGTGTTTTGAAAACGTCTCGACAAAGGCTACAAGAACACGCAATTAAAAATGGGGAGATTCTATTTAATAAAACATCGATCACATTGACCTGGCCTTGAAAAGGTCACTCAAGGTCAAATCTATATCTTGATCATGTGGCTTCCTCTAAACTACGCAACTTTTGTCTGAAACGTTCTACTATACCTTCTGTATTTTTTGAGATATTTGCCTAGGGAAATTAAATAGGACACCCTATATATTGATCTTGTTAGTTGTTTACAGATACTATAATTACGATTGGAGTGTTTATCATAATCTTGTTATATGATTAGTGATATATTGTTTAGTCATTCTTTTTTCAATAAGAATGCTGTTTATTGAACCGTAATATATTTATTGGATTTATTTTTCACGATTCTTTGTTTGGTATTGTCTTTCGTATTCTTCGTATTGTAAATCTGTCACATGTATGCCGAAACTGATTGTTACGAACTGCATCAGACCAAAGGCAAGGCTAAGACAAAGTATGCCCTGGTGAATATTCTTTTGTACGATTTGTGACGTGTATATATATATATATAAGATTATATCTCATAAATTCATAACCATTCCTAGCGATGACATGCATTTTCGGGGATAACTGTTTCTTCTTCCCTGTCAATATCTATGTTAGGTTTTTTTTTTTGCAAAAAGTAGATGCAAAATGTTTTTTTGATGTATTAAATGTTTGAAAATATAATTTATCATCAAGATGTTTCTTAAATGCATAAATATTTTTATATGTGCATGATAGACGTTTCTTAAATATATTCGACGGTGAGAAGTTTTATTTTTAGTAAAATATAATGCGGCAAGCGTAGTTCTCAGTGGCTGTAGTTGTAAGAATTAACTAATTACAGTTGAATATTCGTATTAGGCTGATTGGTGAATTTTTACAACTACAACCACTTACACTACGTCTATGCAATATATTATAGAATAGCTTTAACTTAATTAATTCTATTGTAATAAAATGATCTTTTTTATTGTATTCTGGATAGTAATATTTCTAACATTAATAATATTATGATTTGTGTGTGTGTGTGTGTATGTGTGTGCGTGTGCGTGTGGACAGTAGTACGAAAAGTTTGTCGGCTGTACTAGGCGACTTGGGACTTGTTCGGAGTACGTTTGAAGTCCGAAAGTAACCCTGCCATTCTTCGGTAGGGTAGCACTATTCAATGAATTCAGAATGCGTTTGGAGAGTCTCCAGCTCCTTCTTTGCCCACCCCTTTTTCCAGTAAAGACGTATGAATCGTCGTCGGATGGTTGCGGTTCCTTGAGCGTGAGACACTTTAGAGCTTATGTCCCCGGAATACGTAACGTGGGATTTCGGTGGCGCATTCTTTCTCATCCCTTTGCCAACCTTCATTCGTTCCACCTTTTGTTTTACCGCGATTCTTTTACATTTTGGATATTAAAATCATTTTTCTCTCGTATGCAAGCACGCCATATTTATCACATAAAAATAAAACTTCTCACAGTCAAATATATATATTTAAAAAATGTTTCATGCACATATAAAAATATTTATGCATTTAAAAAACATCTTGATGATAAATTATATTTTCAAACGTTTAATGCATCAAAATAATACTTTGCATCTATTTCTTTGCCAAAAAAAAAAGACCTAACATAGATATTGACATGGAAGAAGAAACATTGTACGATCGTATAACGAATAGTTTTTATGTATCGTAAAAAAATTATAGGTTTTTAATAAATTACATTGTTATTATTGAGAATAAATGAAAACTGTCTGATAGAATATTTCACTGTATTACATGTAAAAAATATTTATATAATTTTTATCGATATTATATCTGATACAACGAATATTTTACTTAAATGTTTTTAATAATAGTTAATATTAAATTAGAAAGCGGTATTTAGTTGATTATTTCTGATTGTAACAAAACATAATTGAGTTTATTGGATATTTGTCCTGTATTGTGTCGTCGCAAGCGAAAATGGGATGCATCGGCCGCCTAAACTACGCTTTACGACTGGTAGCGTCGTAAAACGTAATGCAAAACGTTTACGAACCAACGCCCGTCGTACATAAATTTGCACATCATAAGATTTCGGATTCGCAAATGCATCTGATACGTATTGTTCAAAAACTAATGATTTTATCATAACTTAGGAATAGAAATTGAAAATTTCTAAGTGTATAATGTATTGTGATTTTATGATTGTGTGCATTTTAGTTCTTTTCGAATTTCGTGTTATAGCATGCTATACATACATATAATTGCTTTTTTAATTATTATTTTATATATCTTTTATTATTACTATTTTTTTATTATTTTTTTTATGTCATTGGACATGTAAGAACTTTTGTATGTGTTAGAAGCTTGTTATAAATTTAATTTAACAAAATAATATGTACTTTTATCGCGAAAATTATTATTATTGTACTATAAATTATTATTATTATTCAATAGATATAATAATAATTTATAGTATAACACGATATCCAATATATGAGTTGATTGAAACGCTAAAAGTCCGTCATATACTCTAGGAAATTAGTCGTCGTACTCATCGAAGGAATATATACCTACAAACTCGGTCTTCTTTTTCTATCACCACACCCCTGCTGATCGCTTTTCTTTCTTCGGTTAAGGGTGGCGTTGCCTCAACCCCGCCCTGATCCGTAAATATTGGCGACCTCGTAACAGCTCCTCGTAAAAATCACTTGATTACAACCCCTCCCTTCATCACCCAAACATCGTTCATCAGAGAAGAATTGCAATGAAAAATAAATGCTCGCACTTCTTTTTGTAAATATCTAAAATATAACAAAAATGATTTTATTCTTGTATAATTTTAATCATAACAAAAACTGAGAATTTTTGAGTTTAATTCTATCGTTTTTAATTTTTGAAATAATTGCTGATAATCATAATTAGATTTTTAATAATCAGGTGAATATATTTGGAAAATAGTTATTATTAAATCTTATAGGACTGTGAGAATTAAAATCAATGAAAACCGATAAGAAACAGACCGTAACAACTGGATCTTGGATGTTTCTATCTCTAATTGTAAATTTATATACTAAAGTTATATGTAGATTTTTAATTGCGCGCCTAATTTTTTCAGATTTGAAACGCAAGCTCTACTAAACTACCGCAGTAATATACGAGTTAAATTGACTAACAATTTAACAATTTTTGATGCTCTTTGCCCATCTTGGAAAATAGTATAAAATGACGGTTACGAAAAAAACGTTTCTTTCCGCTTTATGATTGAAAAATGGAGAATAGCGTAACAGAAAGGAAGATTAAGAAATCAATATTTGGGCATTATATTTATCATAGAAACAAATTGAATTAATATGATAAGAGAACGGTCTTTTATAAAAGTCATAACACTTCTCTCTTATCACATGCTGCAGTAATACGAAATTGATAAGTTTGCGAGTTCAAACACATTTAATTATATTGTTTAATTATATTAATTATAAATCTTGTAAAAATAATCATAAATATCAGCCTTATTTTATCTACAGATTTTGTAAACAAATTGAAGCTGATTAATTCTTAAGAAAAAGTATTTGAAAAAAATTATTTGTACTTACATACAAAAAATCGTCGAAAAATGATTTACAGTATTCGATACTTTTCACCTTAGTTTTTATGAGAATTGTGCGTGTCACTATATAGTTTGATAACGTATATTGCGTTACCTATGATATTTTTTTCGGACGTAATAACAGCGCATAGCCGCTAGCCGCGCAACGCGTCACCCTCGATATTTCAATAGGCTGAAACTCGATACGATCTGATCGATAGTTCGTCCATATTGTTGCCACGGGGTGGGAACGTGCCATGTATATCGTTACGTTATGTAACCTGTTAAGTGGCTTGATGTTGTTACGGATTTTAGAGATTATCACGTACACATCGACGGATAAATCTTGCTGCATTCCGTAATTTTATGTATTGTGGCGCTTTAATTTGCTATTTATTCGTATTGTTGTGATGTGTATTAATACAACACACATTTATCATTTGTTTCAACAATATTACGAAAGCTCGTATTTTATTATCTACTAATTTCGTGACGTACACATTCATTTCTGATACATTATTTTTTGACGTCTAAATCGTACGTGTGATTTTTGTTTCAGATTTTTCTACTTGTATCACTTCTCTTTCTACGCGTATCATTATCGATTTAACGGACAATACAGCAGTTTGGCATTGGTTACATCTTGGCTCTTTATACAGGTGAGTATATTTTGTTCTTTTCATTACGTGCGAGAATGAGAAACGCGCTCGCGCATATATGAGTCCATTGATTTTAAATCTTTATCTAACAATAAGTTTGAAAATCGCGTAAAGTATGATCAACGAAGAATGCGGTCAGGAATAAATTGTTTGATGAAAGTATGCGAATATAAGTACTTGGTAAAGCACAAGTATTTATGCGGTGTATTTTGGGATTAAAGTGGCGCGCCGTCGCGGTCGGACCGTGAAATAATCGTCTTCGCGATAAAAAAAACTTCTACGGGAATAGAAAAGTTTTTTCAAGAAAAATTGTTCTTTTGCATTAAAACGGATATTGATCACGAATATTCCATGATCTACTTGCGAGGATTTTGGTTGATATAGTTGGCCTTAGAATTTATTGTATAGCGAAGAAAAAAATCTTTCAACAATTGAGCTGCTTAAAAATTGTATCATTGATATATACTCTTATTAATCTTTTGGGATATAGACATTTTATATATAACGTAGAATATTTATTAATTAAATGTTTGATTTTCAAATAATCTTTATAAAACAATAAACAATGTTTGATAAAAAATATTCTATGCTTCTGAATAATCTATTCTATTTAAAATAACTAAGTATTAGGAAGCAAGAGTAAATTAAAATCTATCTAGATAAGAAAAATGAAATTTTATATTGCTGTACTTTTCAGTATAAATCACATTTGAATTGAAGCATTAAAGTGCAGAGAATGCCGTAGATATAGATTATATTGTCTATATGTAGTTTTCATAAAATAAACGTATATACATACCTGCAATATTAATCTTTTTCATTGTTTTTATATTGTGTTAATTAATATTCAAAACATAAAATTTTGCTGCATCAAAAAATATACGCTGAAATTTTATAAGAGAGAGGTTGAATAATTGGAAAAATATGCTGTTTATTTAAAATTTTTTATATTTTTAATTCTCCAAGACTGAATAACATTAATTTAATACGATTACATCGCAGCATTTGTATGAAATCATCTTTTGCTTGTCGATTGTAATTATATGGCGAATCTGTATAAAAAATAGAACATGAGTTAGACTTGCGAGTTTGCACTTGCGCCTTTAAGAATCGCGTCGAAATAGATGAAGGAAAATGGAAGCGTAATATTTTGCATGCGATCTTGTCGGCTACCGTTGGAAGTCCTGCGATTGACAGCAACCGTAGCAGGACGAAGAACGAGCCGTGCCATGGCCGTGGTCGCTTGGCTGGATAGCCTAAAGCCGCTATCGCTCAAACTTAAGTTACGTAAACGCAACCGGGACAATGCTCTTGACAGCTCGATCGATAGAAATAATTTAATGCGGCTTCTTGGTTCCCATATACAAATACGTATAAGTATACTTTAATGCGGGAATCTCGTTCTCTCGTCGAGAAGGGCGTGTCCCGTTTCTTCCATTAAGAACATAGGCTGTTTTAAATAATAGTCGGTGAGGTATTGTCATTTTCCATTAAGAAATATACACTGTTACTCTTGATCTCTTAAATTTTTGCTGATTTGGAATTATTTTATTAATTACGTTACCATTGTTTTCTATGTGCGAGCATAAAATGAATTATTCTTGCTTTCGTTCGTTATCAGCACATTGGGTGCATTCAGAATGACAACCGCTTATTACTGAGCGATCAGTGAGCAATTTCATCTAATTGGTCTATATTTTAGGATCTAACGGAATATGCCAATCAGATGCAAAAGCTCACTGAGCGCTCAGTGAGCGGTCGTTGTACTGACTGCACCTATTGCATCACATTCGTGATAAAATTTATATAGTGCAGATCTTTTACTCTTTGCACTTTATATAATTTGACGTAGTTATTGGTTATAATTGTACGTTTCTCTCTACATTTAAGTGAAGTATCTATCGAGTTACAACAAACGATCGATCGTAATAGAACATTTGCTATAAGCCGCTGGAATTTTAGAAACAAATTTGCCTGCTATGCCAATAATACGGTGGGTAATCTGATTGGAGAGCGTACTTTGATAACGCAATAACTTATAATTAGATGATCGCGATGGCCGTATTAACAGGTATTATTATAACGGCGTTACGATAGATAGCCGCTACGTTAATAACTACATTCGATATGTACTGTGTACATTTCATGCGTAAAAACTGAATACCATTAAAGTTTAATGGAGTGGTTAATTCACTCGATAAAAGGTGTAAATGCATCACGATGCTGCATCATTACGCGCTGGGGAAAAAGATTACATTATTATGTCGTATTCGCCATTCAATTGTTGAACACATTTATTATCGATCATTTTTAGAATTATAGTCTATTTTAACGAAAGAAGACTTATTGGGGCGCAATAATTTTAGCTCGGTCCACAACTTTGCTTTAATCATTAGGCTTTAAGCTATAAGCACTAACAATAAGTAGTAAACTATATAAAACTTAACATGTTACATCAAGTAGTCCATAATATGGACATAATCTTTAAGACATCAGTACCTATCAGACAGCGAGGTTATATGCAACATAGCAGCATTTAAATATAAATATGAGATCAATAATATAATATAATATTGGGTTTGCTGTGACATATATTTGACGAGAACTTCGTCATCAATTCTGTCAATTTTGCTTTCTATATTGTCAAATACTGCAGGTCTTATCACTCGCGATGCACATACATTTAAAATCTCATTATCCAGGACTTATGTAGCAATAAGAAATGGGAATTACCGATTTCTTTACAGCTCTCTTATGTTTTACGGATTAAAGTAAGTTTAATATAATGTCATCTATAGCGCTTAAAATTTAACGCTTAAGATCCACTTAAAGCAAGGTTGTGGACCGAGCATTGGATGTAATTAGTATACATTCTAAATGTGAAGTATATTGTATTTAAAAAATTGCAATTCTTATTATCGCTATAAAATAAATTAATAATTATTTCAAAGTATAATCTATAATATATATTTCAAACATTTCAGATTATATCTCTTAAAATTTAAGATTAGTGTTTAACGTTAATATTACAATTGCAATAAAAACATTGTCCGTTATTATTATACGATCGTTCTAATATAGTATAATTTTATTTAGTTTTCTTTGTTTCGTGGTAAAAGGTTATCGAATCGAATGTATATTTACATTATATGTGACATAGCAATTACTCTTATATCTAAATACATAGATAAAATAATATATTGCCCATTTGAGAACGCAAATTGAATATGCTTTACAAGTAGAGCGCGACTTAAGCCGTTACGTCGTAGATGATGACAGTCTTTGCTCGACAAGCGAGTTATGGGTTCGTTAACATGATCGACGGTTTAACGAGCGACAATTATTTCCTGGGAACGAGTTCACGAATACCGCGCAGCGGCAAAATTTAAAATGCTCGGGGGCACGTCGGCCGAGAATCGTTTTGATTCCCGGATGGCAAAGCTCTCACCGACTGTTGCCGTAGGTCAGAGTTCAGCCGATTAGCCCCGCGGCGTGATTATACGTCGATTCGATATCGATGTCATTGGCGTTGATTATCCGCCAAACGAAAACTTGATATACTCGGATCTTGTTCTCGTTCCTGCAATCCGCTCCTACACTTCTACACTCTTCGTCCATCCGTTCTTTTCCATCCACCTTGAGATCCACTCCCGCTCTTCACCAATCTTTCTACCAGTCTTCTTTTTCTCAAACAGTGCGGAATCGTTCCGCTCTTGCCGACGAATCACCGAGAATATCATTTCCTCCGCGTCGTTGACAGATGCCCAGACGCCGAGATATCTATTTTCCATATCCAGGAGGAGTTTTCCTCTCGCTCATCCGCTCGCCACCTTCGCCCTCCTACATACACGTTATTTGTTCATGTTAGAGATTTTTCAATCTTGAAAGAAGAAAACATCAAAATAAATGCAGTTCTCATTGGCACGCGTTATTACATCTCAATTCCAATTGCACGAGGTTCGTTACTTTTCGTTCAATCAAGAGACGTCCTTAAATTATTATCTAATGAAGCAATAAGCTATTTTTAAGAATAGAGAATTCGGTTTCATGGCATTCATGCTGTGTGAGAAGAGAAGCTGCGTTATTGCGATCGTTACGATCAATGCGGATCGGTAGAGACAAGGTTCGAAGCGATTGCGTAGAAAGAGAACGCTGATATAGAACGAATTTGGCGAATTTCCATATAAATTTGCTAGGCGCGAGCGGCTCACATTGCATACACCGAACGAGTGTATATATATCCACGTGTGCCGCGAGATATATCTCGCCAGGTGAACTCTTGTTTTTTCTTTCTCCAACAGTACCCGACATAGACGCGCGAGGAATGGCGAATTCTTATAGCGACATACAAAAGGACAAAATGCTGTGTGTGTATTATACAATTATTGTTTATTTATTTGTTGTTTCAGCACTCAATGTTATATTTCTTTCATCACTATGAGCTACCAGTGATTTTGCAACAAGCGCAGCTTCAACAACTACTGTTTCGTAATCATATTCAGCCTCAGGCACAACCAGCGACGCCTAGCACGGCCCCAACTACCCCGGGTTCAGGCTCGTCGCCATCACCGTCGCCGTCACCATCAGCGGCACCTTCACCTTCGTCGAGTCCGAATTCATCGTCGATACCTATGACGGAACAGACACAGCAAAACTATATTACCGAGCTTTCTCAGCTCGATTTAGAACCTAGCAATACAGAGGCACAACATACGGATACTGCGCAACAAACATCCACGGCAACGACGGCTGATCATCAAGATGATTCTATTCGAGGTACGTCATCGATTTCAATATTTTTGGTGTTATTTTCCATTGAGCCATCGGCTTAAAGATCATACTAAAAAATGTTGGATATAAAAGTTTGATTTAATTTTAATAAATTGCAATTTTTTAATGTAGTTGTAAGCTAAATTTACATTTCTAGAAGTCGTTTTCTCTTTATAAATATTTACATTTGAAGAGAAATTGTGAATGGATTAAGTAAAATTTTATTTGGCATTATACCAGAGGGTTTGCGGGTTGTCGCCGTGTCTTTCTTCATTATTAAATTTTATTTGGCATTTTAAAAGAATTAAACGTATCATTAGATATTGTATATTTGATCGAATTTCGATACCCAACGTACTGTTTCTGTAAATTTGTGTAGAGGAGCAAATTAAAATGGTACATTTAATTGTATAATATACGTATATATACCTATTTCAACTTTTATACAATAGTAGGAAAAAACTTCTCTCTATTACGCTTGCACTTGCGCGATCGAGTTAAATTTTATGAAGCATATTAAGATTTACACATTAATAGGAACAATGAGCTGCATAACGTTCCAATAACAAGCCGATAGAAAAATGATTCTTGGAGATTCAATCTGATATGAGAGAAATATGTTTGAGTAATTTTTGAGATATCATATAACCTATTGTAATCGTCAATAATTCCGTGATTACGCATTCCGCGTGTCGATTCGCGCGCGTTTCATCGGTTTAGAATTTTGAATGAGCACTTTGTAGATCCTGTGTCACTGACACTCGTCGCTTTTGAGCGCCTACATAGTTTGGCACGCGATACCGCGCTATCGTGTTTCAATTCGACGATCCAACTAGCACTGATTATTTTTCTGGGCTTTTAATTTCACCTCTCGTTTCACGTTCGTGGCTCGGATAATCGATAATCGTTTTAACACGCTCACGAGCGTTATGTCGGAAATCAGTTTATTTACAGCTATGGTTTGACTTACAATTGCGCATTGCATCACATTTTTACTACATATAACGACCGTTCAATTTTTATTACGGATATTTGTTATCTAATTTGTACCCTCTTTGATATAAATATGATATTTCTTTATGGTATATAATGAAGAACAATCTTGCGTTAAATCGCAGTGTCGGAGGACACGACAGTGTTCACCACGTCGACTTCCGTTGCAAAGACGGAAGCGGTTCCCTCAGCGTCCAGAGCTACGAGTTCGCTCACCGATACTTCGTCCTCCGAAGGCTTCGAGGTCATTGAGTCTACTGAGGTGGCGAAGGAAACGTCTGTCGAAGACAAAAAAGAACATTAGACTTTGACTATGCCAACTGCGTAACAGTCAGAGCACAGAGTGTATCATTTCCACATGACTGCTTCCGTCGATTTCTTTTCATAGGAAATCGGCGCAATTATAATATTTTGTCACAGAATTATAAAGCAATACGGTCTCTCTGTATATGAGAATGAACAAGTTAACATGTGTTCGATGTGTTTCGATGTTCAATTTCAATAAAATGAAGATGAAATTAGAAATCGATTTTTTGAAACTGTCATAGGTATCACGCTTCGAGATCAGACCCAATAGACGAAGAGGCAAAGATTTATACAGCGGTCTTATGGAAATAAATTTTCAATCATAATAATATAAGCGATTATCGGGTTTCGAGTTTCATGCAGTTATATGTTTCAATGTTAGATTCGTTATGAATCAAACAAGTTAGAAGTGACATAATAGCAAAGTTAGCTTTTATGAATGTAATTTCAAAATGATAAGATCATCATATTTTTAATTTATCGCGCGTTTGTATATGAATCATTTATTTAATTTTTCTTTATAACATAATTTTTTAATTCAGTATTCCCTAAGAGTGTTTTATATTTATTAATATGATACAAGAGATATCTTATTTGTTTGTTGAAAGATACGTTACACACAAATGGCAGATATATTGCAATAAATATTATCTTCCATTTAAAATGCATCTTCGCGAATAAATTCTTGTTAATTTGCAACTTATTTATTTCATAAATATTTCTCTTACTGAAGTGAATAATTTCAGAACGTATCTCTTTTCTATATACATATATGTTTTTGTTTAATTATTTTATGTATTTATTCTATCTCACACATTCACGTGACAATTGTCAAACTATCCTTCAAAAATAATACGATTAAAATAAGAAACATATACAACTATTACTTTCATCGAATCTCTAATTATACTAAAGATTACGAGATTACTCGAAGATTGCAAGGAATTGTATTTAAGATTGAAATTTTTACATTAAAATTAATTAAGATGCTTTAAAATTTTCACTAAATAATTTTTTGTACAAATCTTTACAGCGAGATAGTTGAGCATTCAACTTATCTCTGCACTCTTCGTCTTTTGAAAATGTTAGAGAAGCCTGTCGACGAAACCGCCAAGATTGCAATTTCTAAGCGCAACAATCAGGATACCTAATAAATATTCTTTTACTTTTTTTTCATTCATTCCACACATGCAGTGGCGGCAGAAATAATAAGTACACTGCAGATAAATCGTAATTTTATTCGCAGAAGACAGAAAAAAAAATTCAGATCAATTATTATGTGTAGAGGTGATACTTTGAGGCTTTACAATTTAAAAAATTAATAATTTTTCGCCTAAGCGTCATACAATCATGAAATATTTAGTTTTAGAAAATTTTTGACAAAAAGTTATTGGCAAAAATAATAGGTATAATTGCACTATGAAATATATTGCACAACAGAAAACTATTTAAAACATATTCAGAAAACTAAATCTTGTCTTTCTGACTAATATGTAGTCGCGTAGCCCTTATTTTGCAAAACTGCTTGACATCGGCGGCTCATTGAATCTACTAAGCGCTCGCATATTGATTTTGATGTGTTGTACCACGCTTTCTGAATTTTTTGCCATAATTGAGTTTTATTTTTAATTTTCTATGGGACTGCCTTTTTTACTTCATGCCACAAGTTTTCGATGAGATTTAAATCAGGAGATTGTGCTGGCCATTTTATCACAGAGATTTGATCACTTGATTATCTTCAAACCACGTTTTTACAAGTTTCAACGAATATTTTGGATCATTATCTTGCTGAAAAGTCCATATCAGTGGCATATTCTCCTTAGCATAGGGTAACATGATATTATTTAAAATATCACGATAAATCTCTTTTTCTCATCGTTTCCTTGATCCAGTACAGAGGGCCGACACCATTGTAAGAGAAGCATCCCCAAACCATAATATTTCCTCCGCTAAACTTTATTGCCTTTTTTAGTAAATTTAGGATTGAATGTAGCATTTGGAAGCCTCCTCACAGTTAATGCACCATCAGTTCCGAACAAATTAATCTTTGTTTCGTCGCTCCAAAGAATATTTCTTCACTGTTTCCCCCCCCCCCCC